TGTGTGTATAGTGTATGTATATATATATATGTGTGTGTGTGTGTGTGTGTGTGTGTGTGTGTGTGTTTGTATATATATATATATGTAGGTATGTATAGATATAGATATAGATATAGATAACTCAATAAGCTTAGCCAATACCCAAGATGTTCTTAACATTATCCTTTGCCTGTTAGGGCTGTGGAGAAACTCAGGCAGGGAAAGCAACAGAACGAGGCTAACATGGAGCTCAGAAAGGTAGGCGTCTACACACAGTTATATATACACTGTATGACTTTTACATGAACGCGCAAGTTTAGGCATATGTACATGTACGTATATTGACACAGACGGATGTGTATGCGTATGCATGCTATATACACACTCTATGAATTTACATGAAAGCGTAAGTCTAAGCATATGTACATATGCGTATATTGACACAGACCGATGTGTATACGTATGCATGCTATATATACACTGTATGACTTTTACATGAAAGTGTAAGTCTTAGCATATGTGCTTATGCGTATTTTTGCACAGACGGATCTGTATACGTATGCATGCTATATATGCACTGTATGACTTTTACATGAAAGCGTAAGTAAGCATATGTACATGTACGTATATTGACACAGACGGATGTGTGTACGTATGCATGCTATATACACACTGTATGACTTTACATGAAAGCGTAAGTCTAAGCAAATGTACATATGCGTATATTGACACAGACCGATGTGTATACGTATGCATGCTATATATACACTGTATGACTTTTACATGAAAGCGTAAGTCTAAGCATATGTACACATACGTATATTGACACAGACCGATGTGTATACGAACGCATGCTATAGGTAAGCGTTTCAGATCATACGAAAGCATTACCAGGATGTTGTAAAACCCCTAAAACCCTAAAACTATACGAGTATGTAGCGACTAATGATATCAAATATATCGTCCGAAAAGTACCAACACGACACATACATCCTCTAAAACCCTAGAACTCATTCATACATGCGCTATTATATTTTTTTAGGGTTTAGGGTTTAGTAAACCCTCAAACCCTTGATTCTAAAACCCTAAACCCAAGTACCAACACGACACATACATCCTCTAAAACCCTAGAACTCATTCATACATGCGCTATTGTAAGATCAGTCTTAGGGTTTAGGGTTTAATAAACCCTGAACCCTATAGCACCCACCCCTGAGCACTCATTTCTAGATAGTCTCGTGTACACTTGCTCGTCTATTCACCTGCGAATTCCGCATCACTTCGACCGTTATGTGCTCAGCATAGTTACAGCTATTTCCTTACAATGTATGTCCTTATTTTCTCACCATAACTATCTTTATTTTCTCACCATATGCATCCTTATTTTCTCACAATTTGTCTCCTTATTTCCTCATCATATGCTTCCTTATTTTCTCATCATATGTTTCCTTATTTTCTCACAATTTGAATCCTTATTTTCTCATCATATGCTTCCTTATTTTCATCATATGCTACCTTATTTTCTCGCCATTTGTATCCTTAATTTCTCACCATATGCTTCCTTATTTTCTCACCCATCCACCGTGTCCGTTTTATGCCTGTTCAGCGAGAAGTCAGTCACCTGAAAGCCGAGTTAACACACGCAGAAACACAGCACAAAGCACAAATAGAAGAGCTCGAATTGGTGCAGAAGCAACACATGGCCAAGATAGAACGCCTGGAGAGCAGCCTGAAGCTGCAACAGGAAAAGGCTCAGAAAGACATCGTGTGTGGTAGCCAGAATACTGAGGTGTGTGTTTTGTGTGGATATGTTTCCGAGTAGTCTATGTATGGTATGTACGTTTGTCATATACTCATAAACTTGTCCTCACACTCCTGTACAGGCGAGTCTGTGGAACGTTTTTAACCTCGTGTGTTTGGTTGTTTCGGTTTTTCGCACGGGTATGTGTATGTATATGTCAGCTTGACTGGTGTGTGTATTGTATTGATAGGGACTATGTTATGATGTGTATGATGGTATATTGTTTTATTGTATATTATATTCAATCATTATGTACACGCCTGAAGATGTGTGAACATTCACATATATATAAATATATGCAACCTGTTCTGTGACTAGTATTGGGACTTGTAACTATGGCAACGATACGTATACGTATATTAACCAACTACTACCAATCGCCTACCCAATCATACATCAACAACGAATTACGTTTACGTATACTGACTACTTTCTCCGACATCTCATTTCCTTCGCGTTGAAACCTTCAGTGGAGCTCAGTCACACTTATTCGATACTAAACCCCTAACCCCTTAAACATACTGCATCAGAAACGCCTTCCTAATACGGAACTTTTTTTAACCGCTGCCCAATCAGAATGCAGAGAATGCGTTCGAACAACTCCGGGAGGAGTACCAAACCGTGTGCACTGAGCTCGAGCGCACCAATAGCGATTTGGAAGAGAGTTTACATATCATTGAACGGCTGCAGCTGACCAATCAGAACGCGTCAGACAACTGTGAGACGCTGGCTGCGGAAGTACTAGAGGTAGGTAAGTCAGTACACACGAGGGTCTTAGAGAAGGATATGGATCGGATGGTGTGTGTATGGGAGAATGGCTCCTAAGCTCAACCCTGAATTTTTAGTGCGAAGGTGCTGAGGGCACGCCGATGCATTAACGTCTCAGTGAATGTTATGTATTGAGTGGATATATATATATATATATATATATATATATATATTATATATATATGTGTGTGTGTGTGTGTGTGTGTGTGTGTGTGTGTGTGTGTGTGTGT